ACAATCCTGGTGGAGCTGGATGTGAATATCATCAACGGTAGCAATACTTATCCTTCCTATGAGATATAATGAGTTTTCACTAACAAGCCCAGATAAACCATTCAAGGAGGAGCAAGTGGTTATATTAAAGACTCTAGTTCATCCATCTGGCCAAATAAAAGGCTACAAACCAACCCAAGGACCCCAGAGCCATGAAGCTCTACTTTGGGATCAACTTTATCATCAAAGAGCTATTAAGGAATGCTGATCCTACCAGTTCACTCTTTGCTACATCTCTTGGTTTACAAAATGCATAATACACTCCTTTTCTTGAACATGCAGTAGCTCAAAATTTAATACATGTAGCTACATCTGATGATTAGATGGCATATGGCTTGACATATTGTCACAAATTACATATAATCTATACTGTAGCATGAGAATGAGTCCTTAGGGAGTCCTTGGGCTAAGATTAATTAGTATCTCTCAGTGAAATAAAAGATTTTTATAAAACCACAAAACTGACTTCAATTATGGAAAATCCTGCTTAAAATATAAAGGTGCCTTTACAGGAAAAATCCATAATTTCACAGGGTTTTGGCTGTATGGCAACTAACCAAATGGCTTTCTCTACTATGGTTTATTGCTACTAGAATTCAGTAAAATAAATATATTCATTAAAACTATTCATTTCCCCCCAAATTTGCTTTAAACAATTGAAATAGAAATGTCCTTAAGTGTTTGTAGAATACTTTTTAAAAGCAAACAAAATATCATTCCAAAGCTGGGTCTCATTCAAGTTAACACAATTAGCATTTATTGAACATCTCTCCAAGATACAACACAGACAGACTCACAATGCAGGTCAGGTATATACAGACTTAAGAGAGATCCCATGAAACTTACAGAAAATAATGTTCCAATATTATTAGCTATACCTTATTATAATTTTTCAACTAAATTCTATAAATACAAAGCATGTATAATTTTAAATATAGATTTAAAAATTGGAATATAACACTAAAAGATTGCTACTGTTATAAAGACATTTTAAAGGCTGAATGGAAGAGTGAGGAAAGATCACCAAGAATAAAGATGTGTCATTAGAGACCAACACTAAGACCATCCACACCCTTGTATTACCATTTACTAAGTATAAATGCAAATGTTGGACAGTGAAAAAGGATGATAGGAATAAAAATGATTCATAGTGTTGGAGGAGAGCTCTGTGGATACTGGAAAGAGAGACGAATAAGTCAGTCCTAGAGCAAATTAACCCTAAAACATCGCTGGAAGCAAACATGAAAAAATTGAAGTTGTCCTACTTCAGGCTCATCATGAGCAGGCAGGGCTCTTTGGAAAAGACAATGATGCTGACAAAAAACATAAGGCAGAAGGAAAACAGAAAGACCAAATATAAAATAGATTGATTCCATAAAAGAAGCCATAGGCATAAGTCTACAGGAGCTGGGCAGGGCTGTTGAGGACATCACTCATTCACAGACACACACACACACACACACACACACACACACACGCTCGCGCACACAATCAAATATAAAAGAAATAACTCTGGGACAGGTATTAACTGTTATACATAAAATGTTTCACTGACTTTTTCTCCCCATCCATGAACCGTTCAAGCTGTCACGTGGCAACATTCTACTGTAACTTTTCACAAAAGTATTCCTTGGCTAGTCCCACCGGGTGCATTTCCTGTTGACTCCTCCTCCTTCCTCTCTCTAGGTTTCTTTGATTCTTCTCTTTCCTCCATGTTCTTTCTGGGTGAAATGATCAAGATGCACATTTCCAAAAATCTGACTGCATTTCTAAAAACAACCAAACTCTTTCATCCCAGCATCAAGTATTTTCAGCTTGCTATTGGGATTTCCATTAAAACCTCAAATTCAAAACATCTAAAACTGAATATCGTTCCTTCTAAACTGCCTCATTCTCCAGGATTTCTCCTCTTGGTTGGCATAATGTAACCCTACAGGGGGGTGAGAAACCTCAGTGTTATTTCAAGCTCTGCCTCCTCCCTCACTCTGCACACCCAGTCAGTCTGTCCCCAGTCCCTTCCTGGCGAAAGCCGCCTCTGCATTCCACAGCCATTGCTCACACGCAGGCCTGCCGACTTGTCTCCAGAGCCCCTTTCCTCTTCTTCCCAATTCACCTTCTAGCATGTTTTCCTTACTTCATCCCCACCCCGTCTGAAAACATGTGATGAATTAACACTGTCAAGAGAACAAAGTTCTAAGTAGTACATACATATTTATTCCTGACTTGGCCAAAAAAAAAACAGTCTTTTTAGACTTTTCTCCTACCATGCTCAATAGACTGAACTGAACTTCTTGTGCCATTTCCCAACTACGATGTGAGTGGATAGGGCAGAATGGTACACTGCCTTTATCCTAGTTGCTTTCCTGTACTGCAGACATCAAAAAGTGGGGAAATTACCCTGCCTAGGCTCCTTTGCAGCTACACTCTTACCGTTCTGTAGCTTCTTCCAGTCCCGCACTATGGCACACGATTTAGAAAGTAGAAGTGAGAGAGGCCCCACATCTGCTGCCTCTGCTGCTTTTTTTTTTTTTTTTATCCTCACCCGAGGACATTTTTCTATTTTTTGTTCAGATAGAGTGGGAGGGAGAGAGAGGAGGAGACAGAGAGAGAGAAACATCCATGTGAAAGGGACACATCGAGTGGCTGCCACCCGCATGACCAACCAGGGCTGGGGACAAACTGCAACCGATTTACGTGCCCTTAGTGGGAAGCAAACCCAGGTCTCTCTGGACCACAGGCCAATGCTCTAACCACTGATCCAAACTGGCCAGGGTGCCTCTGCTGCTTTACTTGGAAAGTAAATGAGGAGGTTTTGTTTTTCTCTGGCAGTGGAGAGCTCCAGGCCCAGTCACTGACCCCTTCCAGGTACCAGTCACTGGTATCAGGGTATGGGTATTTTACTGGTATCACTGGTAACATTAAATAAGAGTCCACGTCTAGGAATATGTCCTCAGAATCCCAAAACACCAATCAGAAAGAATATATGCACCCTTATATTCATAGCAGCACTATTTACAATTGCTAAGATATGGAAACAGCCAAGTGCCCATCTGTAGATGAGTGGATAAAAAAAACTGTGCTACATGTACAAAATGGAATACTATGCACTTGTAAAAGAAGGATTTCTTACTCTTTGAGACAGCATGGAGGGACCTGGAGATTATTGTGCTAAGCAAAATAAGGCAGAGAAAGACAAATATCATATGATCTCACTTATATGTGGAATCTAATGAACAAAATAAACTAACAAATAAAATAGAACCAGAGGCATGGAAACATGGAACAGACTGAAGAATCTCAGAGGGAAGGGGGGTAGGGACAGCAAGAGATTAACCAAAGAATTTATATGCATGTACACATTGCCTATAGACACGGACAACAGGGTGGAGGAGGCCTAGGGCAGGACAGAAACCAGGTGACAAGGGGAAAATAAGGGAGACATCTATAATACTCTCAACAATAAAGACTTAAAAAAAAAAAAGAGTCAGTACCTGTAACAGCAGCTTCTCCACATGGCTGGAAGCTTCCTGATCAAAGACAAGGCCATAACTACATTGGTAGCCTTGTCATGTGATGTGGTTTTAATTAAGATCATTTCTAAAATTCAACTCAAATTCTCCCAATAATTATTTTTCCATACTAAAGTTACTTCCTGCTTGAACAGCTAGAATGGATTCTGTCCTATGCAACTGAACTCTGAGGGTTATACATGCCATTCACTTGCTAAAGCCCATGTCTTGACTGGAATGTCGTTGCCTTTTATTCTCAGTAAGCTCTAACTTACCTTGAAGGCTCAGGTCACATTTCACTTCCCTAGAAAACATTTCTACAGTTGGTTTTTTTTTGAAGCCCAATAATTTCTTCCTTTTCTGTGGTACTATAGAATTTTATTAATATTACCAATGTTATTATAAACAAATTGTATCATAATTATTGGATAATTTACCTTTTCCTTATTTGACCATGAGATATTTGAGGGCAAAGAATGTTGTCGTCCCTTTTGATTCTCTTATGCTCTGGGTTTGGCATACAGTACAGACTCAGTAAACACTGGCTGGAAGGAACTGCAATACACTGAGTGTGAGAGCGTGAGGAGAGATTCCACCCTCTAATATGTAACTTGTACTAAGAGCCAACAGGGGAAAATACCTGAGGACTACAGACTTAAAAGTAGAAGACATTAACTATAGATGGGAACTGGGCTGAAGATAATGGGACATGGTTCGAAGCATTGAAAGATGGATACAACTTGACTTTGTGAAGAAGACAGGAAGGCTATTTTAAGCTTGAGGGTGAGAGAGTCTAAGGGGGAAAGGGTGGGGAATTCAGGGAAATAGTGGGAGGATTCGAAAAAAATAACCTGAAGAGAGGTTTTGTGTAAGGTAGTTGTGACAGATGAATCATGAAAAAAAGAGAGGTATCAGCTTGGAGTAGTCTGATAGAAGCCTAGCCCAAGGAGTCTGAAATTTTTTTAGACAGGTAAGAGTGATTCCTTGAAGGTTTTAAAGAAAGAATCAAATTTTACAAAGTTGGCTAGGGAATTATGAGATCTGGAGGTAGCTTTCTTTCTCAGGTTGACATGCTTTAAGAAAAATAATACTGAAACTATTTTAAGGGTAAGTAAACTCAGATGTCCCATGTGTGTTTGGATTATGAAAATATCCCAAAGTTCACAGCAGAACTCTTTGTATTAAATCCAGGTCTCTTTTGCTCATGTTAAGTTATAATTCTCACAACATTATGAGGAGGATCACTTGTATGCTTCAGCACCAGCATTCGAAAGATGCTAAGCCCTGAGGGGGCTAAGAGAAAAGAGCTTAGAAAAGAAAAATGTTGTGGGTTGTTCACCCAACTTTCATTTATCAAAATAAACTCTAAAATATCACAAACTTTAAAGCGTGTCCTAAGACCTTTGGTCCATTAGTACATATGACAAATTACGTAGTAAACATTGAACTTACCCGCCCTGCATAGTGCATAACGGTGAACGCCGTGCCTGGACCTTTGAGGGCGACATTCCCATTCCCATCCTTTATGGGGGAATACACTGCGTTTGTATTTGAGGATTCAAGGAGACTCTGTAGCTTTTTGGGAAGATTTGGTTCCATTGACCAAATCATTTGACTTTGTTCATCCAATAAAGAGAGAAATCCAGATGGCTTCTGAAAGTTAAGAGGAGATAATTTTTTTTCTTCCGTTACTCAATTTAGTATTTTTCTTATTCATGAGTGGTCATTTATATTTTCATTTAAAGAACTCACAAAATAAATGTCTTCAGTTTTAACACACATCTATTTTTCCTCACTGCTGGAGTCAAAACTCTGATGCAACGTAGGGCCCCAAAACTATTTATTAATTAGAGGAATGAATACAAAAATGAAAGAGTGTATTTTAATGTCATTAGAACACTGGAATTATTTTTATTTTATTATTATTATTATTTTTTTTTTAATCCTCACCCGAGGACATTTTTCCATTTTTTGTTCAGGTAGAGTGGGAGGGAGAGAGAGGGACAGAGAGAGAGAGCAACATCGATGTGAAAGGAACACATCGAGTGGCTGCCACCCTCACAACCGACCAGGGCTGGGGACAAACTGCAACCGAGGTACACGCCCCTAGCGGGAACCGAACCCGGGTCTCTCAGGACCACAGGCAGACGCTCTAACCGCTGAACCAAACCGGCCAGGGCTGGAATTATTTTTAAAGTATAATCTCATCTCAAAAGAGAAAAGAAAATGTCCAACTATAGGAAAATTGTAATTCTTCTCGACTTAGAACCCATATCAAATGCTTCATACTTATGGTGGAGAAGTTATTTATCAAAAACCAAAACATACAATTATGTTGTCATTAAAATTATGGAAAAATCCCATTCAGCAGGGAGTAGGAAGTGACTATGATCTTCCAATACTTGGACTTAGAAGAAAAGAAAGCTTGAAGCTATAACTTGTAAAATTCAAACTAGAAGTCCAATAGTTTATTCCTACCAAGTAAGGGAAACAAAGTCATACAGCAGGTGACAATATACAATTAATCTTCTACGGAGAACAATGCTGCCTAAAGAACTCCCAAACCTCTGATGCTGCACTCTCCCACGTGGTTTACCCATCATTGAAGAACTTTTTACTCAGTGCTGTGTTGCTTATTTCTTTCCTAGGAAACATTTTCTGTTGACGTTTTAAAATAAGGTACTCTATATTATTGATTTACATTTTTTTGTCATATATTATAATTCTTCACACTGATTCAGTGTGCTTTTCGAAATATGAACACCATACAAAATATTTATCCACAGAAAGTGAAGCAATCTATATTGACCCCCCATAGCAATTTCAGTTTAAATCTTGACTTGAGGTAACCAAACCATACCACCTCCGTTCTTTCATGATGTCATTTATTTGGACAACAGAAAGTCATTTCTTTGTGTCATAAATATTTTAGTTGTTTCATGCCTTTCAGAGTCTCCTGCTCACACTAAAGAAAATCCAAAGACTGTCTGAGGGCTGCAAAAGTTGAGATCATTCTGGTGCCACCCGCAGGGATCAAAGGTTGAAAATGCCAGACATGGGAAGGACCTCCACCTGGTGGAGGCACACACCTGGCAGCTGGGAGGACCATCTCTAGAATGAGCAGCTGACAGCCTCCCCAGGAGGAAAGGACAGGAGAACTAATGAGGTGGAAAATGGCACTGTGAAGGAATTGGAAATGACTGTGAAAAGCAAGTTCACCCACCTTCGCAAATTATCTAGAACACCTGGAGAGACATAGCTTACCACCACAAAAATGCTTTTCAATGAGGCAATTTGGAAAAGAAAGTTCACTACCAGGAGTGTTATCCTAGCAGGCAGCTCTGCATGATCTATCACAAGACACTCAGTGAGGCCAGGGACCCCATAAAGAGTCCCCACGAAAAGCCCAGAGGTGAAAAAAATGATTTTAAAGATATAGATATACAAATGGATGGGGAGAGGCCTTAAAAAAAAACAGTCAGTGTAAGAAGTTTGTTAAAGACCAGGCCTGTCTGGATGTTTTGAAAATAAAAAATTCTTTATTTTGCCCTGACTGGTTTGGCTCAGAGGCTAGCGCACTGGCCCGAGGACTGAAGGGTAGCGGGTTTGATTCCAGGTTAAGGGCATGTGCCTGGGTTGCAGGTTTGATCCCTGGCCCTGGTGGTGGTCGTGCAGGAGGGAACCAATCAATGTGTCTGCTTCACATCGATGTTTCTCTCTCTCTCTCCCTCCTTCCATTCCACTCTATCTAAAAATCAATGGAAAGTATGCTCGGGTGAGGATTAACAAAAAACAAAAAAATTTTATTTCAACTTATAGCAACCTCTTTGCTGAAGAGTAAGCAAAATGGTGATGTCATGATACCAGAAGCGGTTCCTGGATCTATGGATTTGAGCCTGGCGTCAGGGTACTTCATATGCTGCCACAGCCCCGCGCGCACACACACAAGCTCGTACCGACAGGCATGGCAGGATAACTGGGCTATTTAAAGATGGTGTGAAAGTTTGTCCCTATTTCAGGGGCAGTGACAGACCCCCTGCTGGGGGTGAGAATATTTGTTCATTGGATAAAGCCTCCAGTGGCTGTTTAAGTAAACCCAAGACAAGGCCCTAATTAGTTCAAGGGGAAGCGATTGATTCCAAAGGACCTAAACCACTCTGATCCTAAAGCAAGATGACATTTTGCAAGGATGAATTGGTTGGTTACCAACAAGATATGTTTTTAAAGCATCATATTTATATTGTCTCCAAACATTTTCAAGTTTGCAGGTGTTACCTTTTCTGAACGTTTGCGGAAAACCATGAAAGAATGGCAATAATCAAACGTACTTGCTCAACTTGCTGGAGTGTCTGAAGAATACAGAACATGGAGGAGTCAGTCATAAAGAGTGATTTATGACCTTCACCTCAGAGGTGAAGGCTTAGGAGAGATTGAATTGTTCTACTGTATGTGAGATGTTATCAGCATAGCAACCAAAAGCAGCAACACTGAGAGTATGACAGGCTACATCGGACACTTGGAGAATCTGGTAAGAATCTGGATCGACCCTTCCACTCAGGGACATAAGACAAATGTTGTCCATTGAAACATAAATACAATATAAATATGGCCTATGCACAAATTAAAATGCTTGTGAGCAGTGAATGGGAGTTGCTAGAAAGAAAACAATGAGCTTGTTTTGTATTGTAGGGTCTATGCCTGCCTGGCACACAGACTTACGTATTTCACCCTATACTTGGTAGGCCTTCTCACTCCATTTTTATGGATATCGAAGAAAAGCAGCATTCAGAAATATCTACTCTCACTTCCAACTCATACTGATATGGGTCCTACTATTTAAATGATCATTCCAAAGACGAAACCTCAGGGATGACAGCCAAAGAGATAGAAGAAGTAGCATTCTGCTGACCACTGTATAGCAGTCAAGGATATAGCAGCAAATGAGGATGAGGGTGGTGGTACCTGAAGCTTTCCCTATACAGCTAAATATATATAGCTGACAGTTTGAAGATATTTTTAAAATCTCATATAAATTATGCACTATATGTGATGATGGTGGAGGGCTTTCTGGAGGAAGAGGGCTTCTTACATAATTTAAAAGATGCTGACAAGTTGGTAGCAGAACAAGAGTATTTTACAGTATTCAGAAAATGCATAAAATAATTTATAATGAAGGGTAGAAAATTAAATACTATACTCTTCAATAGTGGAATGTTATCAGTTTTAAACAATGTTCACGTGTTTCAGAGATATGTGGGTAAATCTACATAATGTCTTCCTATATTAGTAGCTAGGGATTGCTGTGCATCGGATAGATTTTTATTTCTATAATGGAAAGATTGATGCAAAGATTCTTGCATTGTAAAGTAGAAACAAAGAGAGGTATAAACACCTGCAGATATTCTAAAATTGTATGTATGCATATATATTTTTCTGCCAGTTTTTTCATATTTAAATTTAGAAACTTGGAAGATAAATCAGAAAGATTCTGTTGAATTTATTTTATGCTCTTGTTAGTCTTAGATATTATTTCATAAAATATTAATTTTGTTCATTGGGTATTTGTAACTATGCCAAAAGAAATTTTAGCAATATAATAATTGCTGAATATTTTTATAACACAATGATTTAATATATCTTGCCCTTTCAATGAATTGTAATCCTTCAAATGCCCCTTCAGAAAAAGGTAGCTTGTGCTCCTCAGTTGACTTTGACAGATTATAAATACATAGCAGAGTCTCACATAGAAAGATATCTCAAAAATAAGGCCCTTGAAAGAAAATAATTTCTCTCCAGTGTAATTAAATCCATGTATTCTGTAAAATCACTAATTATATTATATGAATACCTGGAAAAAAAAATCCAAAACTCCAGTCTGGTTACCAGGAGAATAAGCTGTTTCCATGGTAACTCCCTCTTGTACACATTCTGTTTGCTCTTGTAGAAAAAGCACTTCATTGATATAGTGGTGCATCTTCTCATTGGTCATGTTGACACAAAGCTATTGTGGGGAAAAAAGAAAACAATTCACAAGATAATATGGCCATGCAGATCCACTCTTTCTATGACAGTTTCAGATTGGTGAAACATTGACTCAAGAACCTTCAACACCAATTAGTCTGTTAAGATTAAGCATTACAGTATTGTTGAGAAGCCAAAGTAAGGAGTTTCACTTGATATTGTTGACTTCACATGATCAGACTATTCAATTTAAAGTATGTTAAAAACAAGTATAATTACAGCATTAACTTAAAAATATGGAGTCTAAAATACATTTGAGGATTTAAATATATTTTCAGATTTAAAATATATTTCCAAAAGAAAATATTTGGTCTCTAGTCAACAAGTGAAGATAAAATCTGGGTTGACCGTGAAATCCCTGAGAAAGGAGAAACATTTCTTGCCTCCTCCTTTCTGTTGCAAGATAGCATGGGCAAGAGAACATGGGTTTCTTTCAGAAAGAATCATCGGCCTAAGCATTCTATTGCAAAAACTATGTCCTTAACCTGAAAAATTTAACATTCCTCCAGCTGTTTTTTCTCTATTTCCATCAGGAAATAAATATGGTATTATTTCATCTTAAAGTTTTAATTTCTTCATTATAAAAATCATCTGAAAATATTTTTAAAAAATAAAATAACCCAAATCAAATCAGAATAGTCTTACTTCCTTCTAGGCTACTCTCCTACTTTTCTGCTTTCTTTTATAACAAAAAACTTCAAAAGGGTTGTCTTTTCCTATTATCTCAAATTCCTCTCCTCCCCAATATTGAAACCACTCTAATAGAATTTTGCCCCCATGGTACCACCAAAATTGCTTTTGTGGAAGTCACTAGTGATATGTGCAATTCTCAATCCAATGTTCAATTCTCAGTGTTCATTTTCCTTGCCTTCCCTGTGACAGTCATCCCTCTACTTGTGTAAAGCGCTGTCTCATCCATCTTCCAGGACATCACTATCTTGGCCTCCTACCTCACTGACCACTCCTCCTGTCTCCTCTGACCCCATCTGCTGTTCCAGGGCTCAGTACTTGAGCTTTGTTTCTTCTCCATCTGCACCCATTTCTTTAATGAACTCATTCAGTCTCACATCATGTTACTCCATCTGCACCCTAGCCACTGTTATACTAGGTAAAATTTTAAAATCACTTAGAAATATTTACAATTCAGTAACTCATTGAAAATAATTAAAGGTGAATGGTTTATATAAATCAAAATAAAGGATAAAACATTTAAAAAAAGGAAATCAGATCTTTGCAAAGAGAACAGTATCTATGATTACATTTAATGTGAAATGTGCTGCACTTATAAAGAAAATGCCAAAGCTTTTGTAAATCACACAAGACTGGAATGGTCACCAGAGAAAAGAAAGACCACCCTGGGGGTCTTCTTTTCCATGTACCCAAAGGCTTCTCCAAGTCTGGTGTCTTCATAACACCTATTAAGTAGAAGCTCCTCCTAGACATTGTTGTCCATCACCTGGGAGCTCATGGCTTCTCTCTAGGACATGTAAGAATATCCCTGATGCTCCAGCTTCCCATCAGTGAGCCAAGTCACCTCAAATGACAAACACCAGAAATGCTTTAATGCTCCATATGGCACCTGTGCCTGTGCACAAGGGTGTGGCTACTGATGAATTAAGAATAACACGTACACAGAAAAAAAGAGCCATGTTTTCACAGATCCAGCTATTGGGGAGGGTGGGAGTTTATGGGTCTCTAGGGACATGGAGAAGTCACAGTTGGAATTTTTCGGGGAAGAAACAAACACATTAGCATGAAGGGCACTGGTCAGAAGACAGGAGTCTGTCCCCAGACAGGGATGGTGTGCTGTGAAGTTCAAGTCTTTATTTCTTGCCAGGGCCAGGATTTTCTGAGTAGGTACAGAAAGCTGAAATGGAGTGATTGGAGAATGGCAGGACGTAGGCACAGGGCTACCTGGGCTACAGATGGAGAACAGAAATCAGAGGCTCTTAGGACGTAATCTACTCAATATAGTTTAATGATGAAGACACATCAATATGTCATTATTAATATAATCATTGGAGAATAATCTATAAAGTAGAAATATGCTAAATAAAAATTTAAATGATAACTATATTGAAAATAAGACCTATGTAGCATATCTTGACACCCAAAGAGCAACAAAAATAATTCTTAGCTCCAGGTCAGAAGATGATGGCCCAGGACTACTGTTCTTGTTTCCTGTGTATACATTTATTCATTTCTGCTTCACAGTAAAAAAAATGGTTTCTGTAAGTTTGGTGATAAATGAATGTCTGTAGATCAAATAAGCTTTCCTATTGCGTTCTATTAAAAATAAAATCTAAGTTAAATGTAAAATAGGAGCCATGCCACATTGGTTCTGTCTTAGAAGTCATTTTAAAACCTAAAAAATAAAATTTTTTGAGAGAATTTTCTTAAACTTAGGACCACTCTGCATCATCTGCGTCCTCCAAGTCTCCAGCCTTGGTGTCTGGAATTACTGGAATTTTGTCCCTTCTAACTGATTTCGCCAGTGGTTACAGCATGTTTCCTCCCTGCCCCTCGGCAACTAGACTGCATGAGTTGCAGGCAAGTCTGGAAGCTCTTTGTATTTAAAACTAAGTGCTTCTTAAACGTGTGCTTCTACTGATTCTCTGAAAATAAAAATATTAGAACTACAATCACTTCAGATGAGAACATACCATATAGAAAATTTAACTTTACATGCTTGGCTGTTAAGGCAAAAACAATTGAATATGAATACTGACTAACAAATTCTGTACATTATAGTTAGCAAAGGGAGGGATGGAATATGGTATTTAAATATCATATGAAATATATTTATTTCCTTGTAACTGATAAAGTTTAGCACATTCATCATCTTGTATTGTTCCATCAAAACTAAGTGATACCAGTAGATCAAAAACTGTTTATGTCCATGATTCTATAAAATTGTGTAGCATCTGTCCACAGTAGTAACCCCATTATGAAAGAAAAGCATTTAATTTTGCTCTCATTTTATTAAAAAAGTTAAAAACAGAAAGTTCTGAAAATTGTTTTTATAAAAAAATGAAAAATTTAAAAATTACTTCACTTTGCTTAAAAAATAATATTTTGAAGTGTTCTCCCAATCTAATAATGTGTTAAGCCTCTTTAATGCTGAAGTATTTTTGTTGCTAAAATTAATAAAAATTATTAAAATGTGGGGTGAAATATTTACAGATAATTAATGTTTCCAGTATGTAATAATGTAATAAAAGTGTACAAACAAATATACAGAAAATAAAGGACTCCATTATGGAATGGATCCTTTGGAAAATATTCTCTTTGATTATATGATATACACAATTGTATTTTAACTTTTGATTTTAAAAAGTACATTTAATCATTTACAATAACACAGATCCTATATCTTGTTGGTTTAATTTAAAAGTGGTTATGAAAGGTGTGCCTAAATATATTTTAGGAAACAGATGGTTCCAGAAATAAATACTGAAGCCATGAAAAGTAAGGTGATATATGTTACTTCATGAAACAATAAAAGAAATCTACTAAAGGATTCCAAAACAAGAACATCAGTGACTGATTCTCTATTGTACAAGAAATATCTAAATTATAGGACACTCATCTCTCTCCTCACTTTGAGACTCTCTAATTGAAAATATTTGGATAGATGTGGATGCCTCAAACATTTCATAAAATTCTTTTATTATTTTGCATTCAGAATAGACTGCGGCTCTGTAACTATAAAAATTACTTTTGATGACATCCTAAATAAATTATCTCGCTCTTTTTATTGAATTCATTGAGGTGACAATGGTTAATAAAATTATACACGTTTTAGGTGTACAATTCTATAATACATCACCCGTATATTGTATTGTGTGTTCAGCACCCCAAGTTCAGTGTCCTTCCATCACCATTTATCTCCTCTTTATCCTCATCTATCTCCCCTCACCCTGCTTCTCCTCTGGTAATCATCATACCGTTGTTTGTGTCTATGAGTTTTGGGTCATTTTTTTTTAATCCCCTCACCTTTTCCCCCCAACCTACTTCCCCTCTGAAAGCTGTCAGTCTGCTCTCTGTATCTATGAGTTGATTTCTATGTTGTTTATTAGCTTATTTTGTTCATTAGATTCCACATATTCATGAAATCATATGGTACTTGTCTTTCTCTGACTGGCTTATTATATTTAGCATAATGTTCGCCAGGTCCATCCATGCTGTTGCAGAGGATATGATTTCCTTCTTTTATAGTTGAGTGGTATTCTATTGTGTAAATGTATCACAGCTTTTTTATCCATGCATCTACTGGTGGACACTTGGGCTGCTTTCAAATCTCGGCTATTGTAAATAACACTGCAATGAACACAGGGGGTACATATATTCTTTTGAATTATGAGTTTTGGGTTTCTTCGGATAAATTCCCAGAACTGTAATCAGTGAGTCATAAGGCAGTTCCATTTTTAACTTTTTGAGGTAACGCCATACTGCTTTCCACAGGGGTTAATATCTGTATTTCATAAAGCTCTTATAAAAGTTAACACCAAAAAAAAAAAAAAAAAAAGCAAACAGCTCAAATAAAAAATGGGCAAAGGACTTGAATAGACACTTCCAGAAGAGGACATACAGATGGCCCATAGACATATGAAAAGATGCTCAAGGTCACTAATCGGAGAAACACAAATTAAAACCAAAAGAAGCTATCACCTCACCCCTGTCACAATGGCTGCCATCACCAAATCACTAAACAACCAGTGCTGGCGAGGGTGTGGAGAAGAGAGGACCCTTGTGCACTGTTGGTGAGAATCTCCTTGCTCTTGATTGTCTTACAGCTGACCGTTTCTGTGTGCATACCTGGATGTAGTGTTTTGATTGACTTGAGCATTTTTATAATAAAAAGAAGAAGACATTTAATTATTTTCACTTATGAATATTTTATTTAACTGAATGTTGGCTTTGTGGAATCGATCCACTATTTTAGTCAAATGACACCAAGTGTGAAACATGGACAAAGCC